TAATGATTCGCTTACAGTGTTGACTTTAGAGCTGTAAAAAGAAAACAATTCACTTTAATCCAGTTCGTCGAATTCACGCCTACGTGAAGACATGGTAAAATTTAATAGCGAATCATTTAATTATTATCCTTTATTGAACTCTTAGTTTATCTAAAATTCTATCTCGAGTTAAAGGATATTTATACAAGTTGATTTACTAATGATAAATATGTCCTAATAAATGTGCATAATGGAATATAATAAATGAAATAAATACAATAACTCTATATATTGAATCTTAACTAATCATTACGATTAAATCGAATTTGTCATTCGTCTATTTAGTCATTTGATGCCGCAATATAGTAGGTTCCAGTGCACCTCCTAGTTTTTATTCCTTATACCACAATAAAAAATTAAAGATAATAACCAATGTAAATCATCATATAGCGTGCAAAATACTTATTCAGCACTAAAGAACGAATTTGTGGCACCATTTTTCGTAACTAATATTTCCATGGTGAATGTTTAATAACGTCGGCTAATTCAAAAAAAAAGTGTAAAATTAAGATTTCAAGTTCTCTTTTCTTACAAGTCTATCTTACGAGTATGTTCTGAAGTGAAATATGTGATCAATAATTGAAACAGTAAATTAATGAAATCGAAAAAATCGAAACTTTATATTTAAAAATACTGTCGATAGTCGGCGAATATATTGATGCTGAAAGTTATATATTTTTTAGAGAAATGATTAAAATTTTTCGAATAATAATTAACCTTTAACCATTAAATTATTACAACATCCAATAACCCGTTAACAATTAGCGGTATAATTAAACAATTTAAAAATTAAATCAGGCTATAATTTATAAAATTTTATTTAAAAAAGTATTTTAAAACAATTACCGCATTTGTTTTCTTTGCAATTCATTATTTTCAATTAACGAACATCTCCATCAATATAAAACAAATTCTGCAAGATATTTAATAATTTTATACGCATTCTAAGCTTTCATTATCACAAGTCGCATTTACAGTAATTGATTTTGTTGCATAGCTTCTCAAGTATAATTGATCCGATCTGAATTACAACCATTATCTGTAAAAGTTTGACGCACAAAATATCTTGTTTTTTAATTTTCATTTGCTACTAATATATTAATCAACTTTCGATTAAATCTTATCTATATAAAGCATTTTTCATTGTTTGCTACGGTAAATGAAACGATAGTAAATAAATTTTATCAACAATTGATTAACCTTAAATCGCATAGATCGTTAAGAATAGTGCACATGAACTTCAAATATTTATTATTCTTGATATATTGTCTCCATAACTTTTTGTTTAATTGTGAAATCTTTTGTTTACGAAGTTTTATATAGTATAAATTGATGCTGCTTGAAACTAAACTATATTTTAAATTTATTAAAATTTTTAGTAAATATAGACATAAATGATTAATTATAGTTTTATGGTTATTATTATTTATATTTCCTTTTATCACTCACTTAAAAGTTAATTCTATATTATAAAATATGATAAACAAATTCTTTTAATTATTTATAAAAATTGTAGTATTTACCTTCTTCAATTGAAACTGATTCTATATTTGAAATTAATAAAATTTAATTTTTAACAAACAAAAATGTTATAATTAATGAATAATAATTTTTAAATGAATTAAATATTACCATTTATTAGCTTTAATGAAGATTTTATTTTAGCATTTAAATCTGATTCTAATGTAATTTTTTTATAAAAAGATATTTTAGAATTTAAACTTTCAGAATTAACTGTCAAATAAACTCAATAATATTATATTTACATTTATTATTAAAAGCAATTATATGATGTACATTTTGTAAATATTTTTCATGAAAAAAAATTGCGAATAAGTAAATAAATTCGAGTTACTTACCTTCTATATTTCAAATTGATTAAACAAAATAATTTATTAATGAATTATAACTGATTTTATTTAAAAACAAATTTGAATTTAACTTAATTGATGAATTATGTATTTTATCAAGATGCCATTTACCTTTTAATCCTGAATCTGCTTTTCATATTTATTAAAATAAAGATGGAAAATTATTTAATGGACTATATAGTGTTTGCTCTAATCCATTACAAATTTATTAATTTTTTATTGTAAAATAGAAAATGAGAAAGCATATAAATTAACATATTGTATATTCTTAAACATGATATTGGTTGGCTTTGCTATGAGTTGATTAAATTAATGTTAAATGATAATATCTAGATTTCCATCATTATACTTTCCTTCAAATGTAAAAATTTTATCGGCACTCGAAACTTCATTACAACATTGGAATAAAATTGAGAAAATCATTAGTATCCGGGATTAATGCTTAAAAATAATTTCGTCATTATTACCTTCAAGCATAAAAATTTTAATATATACCTTCAAACATGAAATCGTTATTGTAATTTGCTGTTTTAAAAATTGAGAATTGTATTATGAATTTATAATATCTTGTCATGTTTTCATCATCATCGGGAACTGAGTTTTTAATGTGTTACCTCTAATGTTTTAAAACTTTTTAGAAGACCGTTTCAGGTCCAACTTTCAAATAATCAAATATAATATTTCTTTATTCTTTATTTTGTTTAGGTAAATATATTTTAAGGTTTTTAATTACAATGACCTTTATCGTCATTTTCAGACATTATATAATATAAAAGAAACAAATTTTGTGTCTTTTCTTTTTAAGGTCATTGTTCTCACCATATGTCGTCGATCTTTTTTCGTGATTTTGTATAACACCGACGATCACGACTGTTCGTAGAGAATTTCTTCACATTCTATTAACAAAAATAGTTGTTCAAATAATTTGAAACTGTCATGTTTTTGATGCTGAACTATAACTGGGACGATAGTCAATAGAAAAAAGGGAAATATATGCACAAATTTAGTTTAACATCTTTTTTTAATGATGTCATCCCAACTTACAACTCCAATTGAATGAAACTGTTACTAATAACGATAAATGTAGAAAATTGATAAACCAATGAATTGGGTAATCGATTACAAGAATTGATATTATGCCCGCATTTTCAAAGGCAAATCATTGCATTAGTTTATTCATGTATAGAAAGACAATCAGCTTTTAATCAGCAGCCGAAGATAAATTCTTTAAAGATTTATTTTTATTTTATTTTTTTTAAGTTAAAATAAAAGAAATATTTTAACATTCGCAACTTCATAGAAACTGTATTATGGGAAATAAATTGTGAAATATTTCATTTAAAAACGAGAAATTTAAATCATTTTAGTGAGAACTAATATTTTTGCGCGGTTTTCCATACTAAAATAATAAAATTGGTATACATGTGTAAAATGGTAGATAAAGGGAATATTACATCAAGAATATTTATATGGATTTTTTTTAGATATTCCTTTTTCATGATTTTGATTACACAATCATGTTATTGCGAGTCTACTTTAATAAAAATATACTTACATAATTATTTTTTGTCCCAATATTTTTCTTGTATTAAACTCTTTTTTATAAATATTTAAAAGTTCATAAACCTAGAAAAATTTTAACTGCGGTTGAGGCTAAAATTTAACAAAAAAAAAAAAATATTTCTTTAAAAATACAGTGGCGAAGGCGATTTATTTTAATCAATTAAATGATGAAGACGGATTTTTTTATAGGTGCATACTATAGCAGCAGTTTTATTTTACTGGTTTGATGGATATTCCAAAAGTATTAAATAGCAAGGGTGATGGTCCCTAGTTATAAAATAAGGACTAAACAATGGATCCTTAACGGATTCATTATTCAATTTTAAATAAATTTTCTTTCTAAAATTTCAACATGGAACAAACAAATGGCTATAAACTAATAATTGGTTATAATAACATATTACACATCTTCAAGTCAACAAACTAAACCTACGCCTAAACTCAAGTATAAGAAATGTAATGATTGTAATCGATTAAGAAAACCCTCTGATGAAATTCATCAGATTTGCGTTTTTGCTATAAAGCAAGAACAATTGCATTAAGCGGTAATAATGTTATTGATGATTTAAGATTCACACAAACTAATCGTGTTAATGATGTTGAAAGATTGGAATTTCTTCCATATGATAGACACGAAGACTTAGGATTTATTGCCAAAGGGGGATTTGATATAAAAGGAGCAAATAAGAATTATTCTATTTGCACCTTAAAATTCTATGTCGGATTAGAATTAAATATTGACTAACGCTAATATTCATTTCTGTTTCCTTGCAGATCACTTATTGGTTGCGCGAGAAGTGATTATATTTCGAATTTGACTGGGGTTTGTTATGATACATCTTTCTATTTCACAAGTTGCAGTTAATTGATAAAGAAGTATTCCCTGCAAATTGAAAACTAATTAGAAATATATTAACTCAATTTATAAAAATTTATTTATAATTTGCGAAACTAACAAATTTTAAGTATTAATTAAACATAAGAATTTTTGAATTGTGTAACCGTCAAAATTGCCTATACAGATTTTCTTAATAGATTAAATCTTTAATAAGCAGTATTTTTACTAGTTTACTTTGAACTTAAAATTTGATTCTATTTTTATACCGCCTTCTTATAAAAAAACACAATCAAATATTAATTAACCAATTATTCAAACTTTCTGTATGAACATATGCCATAAATATATTTTTTTTCCATCGAAAAATTCACAAATCACGCTACGGTATACGGCAAGGTATTCGGAATTATCAAAAAGAAAGGATTTGTTGCTGACACACTCATCGGCACCATTGTTGAGACTATACATAGGACGTGAGCTAGAAAACTCACATTTTAAAATTATTTATGCTTTGACAAAATTAAGTTTAAAATAACTTGTTTAATAGCTGAACATTTACAATTTAGAAAATAGTGTAAATAAATCGGTAGCAATTCAAATATACTTTTTTAAACTTTATATATGTATATATTTAAAAGATTTTTATTGGTCAAATTATCATCCGGACGAACAAACGGTCAAATGTCCGGTCAGTCAAGCGAAGCCCAATATTGATCACGGACCTTTGCACCCCTAAGTTACCCATTTTAAATTTTTTAATTTTTGAGGCTTATGCATGCAGTGTTGAATATTTTTAGAAATTATCTGGAAAAATGTACTTTAATTATTTTTATTATTCCGGATCGAGTTGCATTTTGATATCAACTTTAATAATCACGAAATTTTAGATTTTGAAAAATATACGGAGTCTAATGTACTCATTTCCTTTTTTCATTATAAAAATCACTTACCTAACTTTTGTTGAGACGTTTGAAATAGTGAATCAATTAATCATATCGACTGATTTTACCTTCCTTCATATCAAAGTAAATGGAAAACAAGTAAACCAAAAGATTGATTTCATGTTCGTTACAATTTCTAAGTTTGATTGGAAAAAATATTATAAAAACAACAAGGTTGTGCCTCACGATAATTTAGAATAGAGTCATTATTTAATCCAGTATTATATATTTTTTTAAATAACTTTTTTATTTAAAGAAAGAAAATCAAGGATTAACAATTATATTAATGGAATTAATACAAATGTGCTTGTTAAACTACCAAATTCAACTTATCAAAAAAAGAGCACACGAAAATATGAATTATTATTCCTTGTTTACAATCTTTTCTTGAATTCTATTAAAAATCACACCAGCAGCATCCTCCCATGTAAGGTCCAACATAATACTGTGAGCAGCACCTCCAACGATATCAAATCCAACACCAAAAGCTTCAGCAGTTTCTTTTATAGTTTTAAAATCAACTATTTTATCTTCTTCGCCACCAATCACAATTATAGGACATTTAATTTTCGAAGGGTCAACAAAAGGCTTAAGAAGTTCTAACATTCCAGTGATAAAACTTACCTTATCGAGTTTTGGATGAATTTCTTTAGCCATAGAATCTGGAAATGCCTTAGAAAAGAGAAATCTTTTCATTAATTCAGGAGTTCCGATTGTTGCATATGGTTTTAATGTAAAAAGCGCTTTAAGAATATAAAGAATTGGTGTATTTGAAAATGTTTTACGAGTGTATTTGAAGGCGCCTATTTTGTAGGTGTACGGAGATATCGTTCCAAATAAAACTCCACCCGCCACTTTCTGTTGATTTTCTTTAAGATAATTTTGAAGTATTCCTCCTCCAAGTGAATGACTAGCAGTAAAAGTGAAATAAATTTAACATCTTTAAATAATTAAAACAATCATAATTTTGTTGGGCACTTTTTGTTAATAATTACCCAACGAGAACAGGTTTCAAATCGGTTCTTGCAATTATTGTATCAGTTACAACTGATACATCTTTTGTAATATCATTGAGTGACCACCATTGTTCTTTTTTTGGAGTCTTCGTACTTTGTCCATGCCCTCGAAAACTTAGGTAAAGAATCATTTTAATGAATTTAGGAATCTAGTCATACCTTTTGTTTCGAGACAAATAATTTACCTCATAGCGTAGCAATCATGTCCTTTATTTGAGAACCAGCGACAAAAATTATCCCAAGCCCAAGCCGCAACACCTGCTCCATGAATGAATAAAATTGGTGGATAATTCTATGTTACAATTTATTGTAATAACATTAATAATTAAAATCAATTATATAAGAAATTTAGGACTTAATCTTAATAATGCTTACCAACATGATATTAGCGGGAGGATAATGCAAGACTTGAATTTTAATACTTTCGCATGAGTCAACGAAAAAGGCATCCTTATCTGTATAATATTGTCTTGAAGTCATTTTAAAACGAATGTATGTATTATTTATATAAAATATTGTTTAAATGATGATTTTTTATTTGATAAAGTAGAAAGTAGAAATGAATTAATTTCACTTACAAATTTATATAGCTTTTTTTTTGGATCGACAGTTTGTTTCATTGACAATCAAAAAAAAGATGATTTACATTACTATAAATAGAAATTTACCGCCTTTTTATTATTTTTTTTTTTCGGATTACTAATTGGTTTGTCTTTTTAATTTAATCTATTAAATTAGTTTGCCTTATCTACCCTTAAAAAGTTAAGCTTAAATTTATACATATATTTTTGATTTAGTAAAAAAGGCGTTGATCAACTACGCCTTATAGATCCTTTTTTTTACAATATCTAATAATTTATATTTAAGGCTAGACTAGAAACATAAAATTTTGTAAAAAAAACATACGGATATTTTTTTTTTTGATATATAAAGAACCTCTGTTCCATTAAAACATTACAGTAAAACAATAAACACAGTATAACGAAATACAAAATAGTATAACGAAACACTGAAATAGTATAACGAATACAGTAACAGTAAACAGTAATAATGTTTTCCTAAAAATGGTATCAAGATTTTTTTAAATCTTTCCTTATTTATATATTACAAGGCAATGATCAGCGGCAATATGAACACAATTTTCATTTTAAGTCAATTCACTTACCTTTTTTATATTGGTCAATATTATTTTTATCAACCAAAATGTTAATTTTCGTTAATTACTATAATACGTAAGAAATTGCATATTAATTTCTATTCTGATTTCTAAAAATGTGTTTCTAGAAATTCGAATACTTGACCCGCCCGCTTGTTGTGTAATCTTTACTTACGGTGAATTGACAAATTGCATCAAATAATTGTCTCTTGGAATTGTGAATTAGTAAAAGTATAAAATGAAATTGTGTTTAACATGCTTAATGCTCTGAGCCGATCGAGTCGTCCCGGGTGACCCGGATATATGACACATTTATTAATTTTCATTAATATTACCCTTGAAAATTCGAGTCAAATCTGGGTTGAACAATAATCGGGTCAGGTCGATTTAGAGTCGAAAAATGACAGGGAAAGTCGAATTCAGGTTCTGTAAATATTAACGGGTTCGAGTTCAATCCAACCCGACCTTACGGAGCACTATGCAAGCTTAAATATTAAGGGCAACTAGGGATTACATTTTGTTCTACATTGTGATCAATTCTAATCGGATCGAGTATGTGATTTATCGTTCAATACGGTTAGCTGGTTGATGAGGAAGATGAATTTAAAAAAATTTTTGAAAGCAAAATGAAGAAGGAATTAATAAACAATGCATCTTGTATAAAGGAAATTTATTGGTATATCCGTTGCATTTTGGAGTCAAGCATTCCAAGATAATGAAAGAGGGAAGGAAATTAAATAAAAGGAAAGAGGATTATTTTTCTTTGAAGTAATTTATTTGACGTAAATTTGGGCATTATTTTGATTTAAGGATGAAGATATGCTCAAAATATAACGTAAGCATTTCGAACTTTTGACTTTTGTTAAAATAAAAATTAAATTCTATTCAATTTTTATTTTTATTTTAGGAAAGAAAATCTCAAACGAAGAAAACCGACATTTATTTTGCAAATGAGAATATGGTATAATAATTGAGAAACATTTACAATCCGCAGATTTCCAATTTAACCTATGCACGAAAGTACTCCCGTTTAACTCCAAAATTAATCAAAGAAAAAATTTCATTAAATATTTTTTACATCATATTTTTTATTTAGTAAAACAATAGACGTGTGAATATGACATCATAAAGGTTAAATTAATTTCGTGTTAACCAAAGAGTGACTCCGGCATGCAATTTCTTTATAGCTTTGAATACTCCCATAATAATTTTTAATGAGCGAGAGCATAATCCTTTACATCAGATTCAATAATTTGATCCCATAACGCAAATATAGTCGTACAAATTCGTCGTGAAACCCAGGTGAATCATATAATCTTAATATTTGTTTGTTAGAACTTATTATGATTTGATTTCCATAAAACTACTAGTAAATTCTTGAAATAATCAAGTGAGCAATGTATATTAAAAGAATTTTCCAAGATAAAATAGCTATTTTACAATAAAAAAAATAAAAAATAAAAAAGGAAACATAATAAAGACTAATTTACTATTTTAGTAACCAAAGCAGATTAATTTATTTAACGGCGCAGAAGATTGAACTTGTATAAAAGATTAACCATTTCGTTTGATCTATCCTTCATATCTAGAGTTGAATACATCCCTCCTAAAAAAATAAAATAAATTTCCCACAAATAATATTGACAAAAATAAAAGATGAAACTTCAAACCTTCTCCTCGTTGCAACCTTTATAAGTCAAATTTAAGCCACAGGACATTACAATACTGGGAGCACGACCATCCCGATAATTGTGAGGAATTATACAAAACCAAAGGCTGTAACAAATGTCAAAATCTCGTGGGATCATTTTAAAAATCCTAGACAATGTGCTACGGCCTTCAACGTGGGATAAAAAATTCTTAAAGCTATCAAGGATTCCAATAAAACTCTAAAAGCTTATGATTTTATATTTTTTGGGAAAGGTGTGACTAATTACTGTCATCAAGGCATTTATTGTGAACAAAGTGAAGTTGAAAAATTCTATAAATAAATTGGAAAAGTTTGCTCAAAAGAATTATCGGTTATGTTTGATTGGAGTGCACTTCCTAAAACTTATAATGATAAAATTGTTTATGCTGCTAATGGAACTTTACTTGTCTATTATACTGGTATTCCAAGTCGAAAAGCCATCTGTTTAAAGAATGATAATGGCGGTAAGTAATCATCATGATATGCTTGCATAATCATTTAAATTTGCTTACATCAGTATAAATATAAAAAATTTATTTGAAAGAAGTGAATTTAAACAAACATAGCGCAATGCCTCCTTTTGGTGTTTCAAGACATTCTTTTACAATTTAGATTTTTATATCAATTTAACATATAGATTTTACATAAGAATACTTTAATACAGTAGATCAATTAAATAAATATTAATTTTGATTTTGATTAAAGACACGTAATCTTCCTTCTCGATAGAAATTTTATTTTAAATAAAGAATAAAAATTATTTGGTAATTAGACCAATGATTTGCGGATATCTATTTTTATTTTTTTTAATTCAATCAAAAGGAAACGAATATAAATTTTTTTTTCGTGTGGAAATCCTTAATGATAATCGAGAAAAAAAAAAAGACGTTAAATTTGCATGAACTCAAATTTTTTAATTTTCGTTTTTTAAGATTGAATTATAAATATCTTGATTCCTAAATTAATGTTTTGGCATCAATATATTTTGTTGATTATATACTTTTATATCCAAAAAATACTGTATATTTTAAAAAAATATAATAGCTAAGAAATGAAAAATCATATTTAAAACATATGACGAAAATCATAGATTTTTTAAAAAAATATTGGTCAAAGTGTATTTTGTAGCATGGATAGTCGGTAAATTGCATTGCACTTCAAAAGAAATATATTGATAATTAAAAACAAATGAGATCCTGAACCTAAGAATGTTGCTTTGAAAAGGTTAAATGGTCATGTATAAACTTTGTCTGCCAGTTTTAAATTGTGAAACCGTTGGAATTATAATTGTTATAAAGCTTCGGTATATCATCTCCGGATCTTTATTAATGTAATATAATTTCATTCTGACGAACTTAAGGTGATAACACCAGCAACAAGATCAAAAAATGGCTACGAATCACAGGAATTATTTTCGGTACACAAAAATATTTATCGAGTAACCAATAATTTTTTTTTTAAGTTTCAACTTTATTTTTTGAAGACTTCCTTTTCAAGATAACAATAAAAAGGACAAATGTATGCGTCCTTTATCAATCTTTCTACGTTACAAAAAACGTCAAGCCAAAATCACAAATTAGTATTATAACCGATAATTTCTCTATCCTATATAATTTTCGAACAAATTTAAATAAGTTAATTGAGAATTTACTGTAACCAATCTTCTTAAACGATGTCAACAATAAAGCCATTTGAATTTTAAATTTTTTTATTTTTACTGAATATTTATTCTTTAATTGAATTTAACATATCGACAATAAACTTACTATTATATAAAGGAAAAGTTATGTAAGACATTGGAAAGAATAGCTTGGCCGGTTTGTGAGATTCTAATCTTCTGTTTATTATATCACCATCACCCTAAAATTAATATATATTCATTTAAAATGTAACTATATCAAAAATTATAAATAATCTGTTATTATATATCTGATATAATATACTGTATTATAAAAATATCATTTTATTGAAATGTTATACTATTTGCAATATTGTTCTTTTATAACACTAGGTTAACATTCAGAAAAAGTTTTAAAAGATATAGGTAGGGTAGGGTATAGTACTTTTAAGGAAGTAGGTTAAGTTGGTAAGCTAGTTATTTTAATACAAAAGCAATTAAGTGTCGTTAATGTTTTAGGAAAAGTTGGTAATTTGGTTATTTCAGTATAAGAGCAATTAAGAATAATTAAGGAATTGGTAATGTAAATGTTGCGGTATAAGAAATATCAAGTGTAGTTAAAGAGTTAGGCAGAGATAAGCAAGTTATTTGCCGTACTATCACAGCAGAGTATTGTTAATGAATTAGGTAATTTTGGTAAACTAGTTATTCGTGTATCAGAGAAGTGAAGTTCTTTTAATTTTTGATATCTTTGTAATCCACCCGGAGCATTTAATATTTAATCCTGATTTGTATTAGTAACAGTTAATTTTTCTAAATCTTCTAATGCTCGGGATTTTAATTGCTCTTCGCGCTCTCTAATCTTTTCCTTTAAATCAGTCTCTTTCTCTTGCTTTTTAATTATTTCATTTAAATTATTAATAGTTTCTTGCTTGGTTTTGACTTCGTCTTCTTGCTCTTTAATCGTTTCTTTAAGAATATTAATAATTTCTTGCTTAGTTTCTTGCTCCTTAATCAGTTCTTCTATAATTTTTTCTTGTTCTCTAATTTTTTCTTCTAAATTGCTAATTATCTCCAGCTTGTTTTTGATTTCTTTTTCACGCTCTTGAATCGTTTCTTCATATTTAGATTGAGAGCTTATGTTAGATAATTCCTCTTTGTTTATCTTTAAATCAATGTTTAAGTTTTGAATCTCTTTCTTTCGGTTTTCTAATTCTTTTAAAGCATTACTACCTCTTTCTTTCAATATAAAGGAACGTAGCAGTTGATTTTCATCTACGTATTTCTTATTGCTTTCTTCTAATTCCTTAAATCTTTTATTCAAGTCTTTAAAATCTTTTTCAAAGTTATTTTTTAAAACCATATTACGATTAATTTTTCTTTTCGAAACGGTGAGAAAATATTAATTCAGCCCACGACTATCATTCCTTTTTTTATAATGAAATGTTCAATTGATCACCATTTCTTAAAAATGTAAGATCAACTTTGTATAACATTTCTATTTAAGGTAAGTGTTTTATTAATTGCATATGCATATTTATAGGAAAGTATTCTTTCAAACAAATAAATAACAAATTTTGTATTTTTTTTTCATTAAACAGAAATTAGAATTAATGTAAATCTATTTAATAAAGAAAATTTCTTAAAAAAATAATATATTGTATTGTAAAACTGAGAAATCCTAATTATAAGAGAAGAAACTTTGAAATATAGCATTCGGTTGACAATTTAAGAAAGTAATAAGTTCAAATTTTTGTTCTATCAATCCGTATTTATTTTCAAATAGATATTTTTGTAAATATTCAATTAATTCTCGAAGGTTTAGCGGTCAATATTTTAAGGAAACTGTTCATGAAATAGCGCCATTATACAAATTTAATAAATTGTAGCAAACATAATAAGAAAATGATCTTTTTAAATATAACGACAATCGTATATTAAAAATTTCTGGTGATATTTTTGGCTGGAAAGTTAGATGACTAAAATCATTATTATTCTTATTGAAAGTCAAAGTTTGACGCAATATGAAATATTTTCAAGTTTTGTTTTCTCTAATTTCGAATGTAATGTTATAATATTCATCATCCTCTAATATTTGAATTTATCGAATTTATCGCACGGCCCTATAAGATCATGCTGAGTTTGTTTGACCAATATTTTTTCAATAGTTTATTTGCGTACAATATTGAGCATCAATTTACAATATTGCTATATAGTAAAAAATATTAGAATCTTTAATGTTAATTTTCAAATTTACCTGTTGTAAAACTCCATTATTTATCAAATCAACTAAATTACTAGTATTCATAATTTCTAAGTTAGTATTGCTAGAATCATTTCTTGAAATGGTTCGCGTAGATTTTTGAATCATTCATTTTTACATTGAGAAATCATAGCTAATAAAAATTAAAATGTAATAAATTAAAATAAAGAAAGAAAAGATTTTTAAAAAAAAAAGTTTATAATCAAATAAACTTTGATCTGAATTAATATGGTAGGTATTTACGTACAATATCCATAAAATATTTCAAGAAAATTTGTGTAGACATTTTTTTATTCTGTATAAATATTATTGGCCGGCAAATTCACTGTATGATTGTTGATCTTAACGAGAAAATTATAATTAAAGAAATTATGTAACCATTATAAAGATTCGATTGGAAAATTTTAAAAATTCCACAATTAAGTTGAATTTTTTGGTTTTCATATGGGAAGATTGCTAGGAGAATCAGTTTCTGAGAATTTTTTTGTCTAAAATTCTAAAATTGCATTTTTAATCTAAGTCCATGCAACTTCGATTTTTCGATTCACATAACATTGAAATTTTAAAATCGACCCGGAGACCCAAAGTTTATGAATGATTATTTTTTATTAATAAAATAAGTTTATATATAAATATTATGCCATCAGATTGGCCAATCTTTAAGGGACAAGGCCGTTCAAAGTAAATTTTCAGATTTTGTGACCCGACCGTGTCAGTTCAGGATTTTTTTTTGTAGTAAAATTTTTATCATATGACCTTACATAATAAAATCGGCATATCAGATTTTGTTTAAAAGAAAGCAACGAAAGAAGGATTTACATAGATTTATCTTTATTTGTGTAATATAAGATTTATTTGTGTGATATAGAATGACAATACATATAAAAATCTTACATATGAAAAAGAAAAATTAAATCGGGTGACCGTGTCAATTTTAAATTTTATCTAAAAATTTTAAAAATTTTCTATTACAATTCTAAGATTGAGAAGGTTTACCTGTTGATGAAAAACCAAAAATAAAAGATTTTTTTTGGAAATATCGATTCTATATTTATCACCTAACTAGTGGAAGCAGATTTTGAAGTGAAGTTTAACCCATCAAAAACATTAGTTGGAGAAAAAATTTCAGCACAATGTATTGCTCGGGAAACTAATGAGTTATAAGAAATGAATTATATATACATTACAATAAATACAATAAAGTTTTAATCTACCAATAAAATTGCACTTTATAGTCACATTATAATCTTTTTAATATTTTTATATATAAACTTTTTTTGAAAAAGTGACCCAGCCGGGTGACGTGAACCGAAAAATTAAAGTTGCATGGCCTAAAACAAAAATGCAATAAATCTGATTTTCCTAGATTAGAAATTTATTATTAAATAATCCGCATTTCTTCAGAGAATAGAATAAAAAAATTGGTTATTAGTATTAATTTAATATCTACATATACATACGAGGTAAAAAATATATTTACTCACACATCCAATTTTTAATCTATATTTTAGTTTCATCATTAACATTTTTTTTTTAGTACAATTACAATTACTTGCCTGACAAAACTCATTTTAGCACATGGCAAAAGTCGAAACACTATAATTTGACGGATTTGTTAATAATTCATAAATATGATTTTGACTTTTGACGGATTATAATCGTTATGGTTTCGAGTTTCGACGGTTTACCAATAAGATTTATTTTAGTTTTGTTAGTGACCCGGGAGTTTATCGGGCAATTTGCAGCTTTCATCAGATTTCACATTCATCCTTAAATGTTCAAACAATATAACTAACGTTCCGATAGCATATTTCTTATATTCTTAGATCAAAGAACATTATTATTAAAAATTATAAAATGATTCATTAAGCAAGTATCTACTTTCAAATGATTGTTGATTTAAACATTCGACTACAATTTTGGAAAAATTATAATAGTAATCAATGAACAAATTTCAATTGAATTATAACACGTGATAAATTTATTAACTTATCTTTTATTAACCTGAAATACCTCATAATCATCTATTTGAAACAAACCACCTGGAATATCAATTTGAAAATAACCATATGGGTTATTCACATGCCAAGTATTATCGATATCACAACAAATATCGTTACCATCACCAAAAACTGGACCAAATCTAATATCACAATATATAGCATTTTGTGCGTGATTATTTTTAATATAACCTACTTTTGCAGTTTGAAGATTTGTTCTATTAACGAATGAGTACATAAAACTATCTTTGGTAGTTTTCCATTGACCATTTCCTTCCCACCAAAATGGATTATATCCTCCCACTATTTGTTCAGTTCCTTTAATTTTTATTACGACTATATTGGCACCTTTGTTATCACATTTTTGATGAAATGCTGCAATTGTATTACCATCCCTACTGGCACGATAAAGTAAATTAAAACCATAAGGCGAATTTTTGTTATTAATTTCTTTCTTATCAATCCAACCGGAAATTTAGCAAAATGCCGAGAGTTAACTAGGATTGAATCACATTTTGACTGTCTAGGTGGTTGTATATTAATAATTAATTTCTTATCTGGTGCCAAAGCATAAGCCAAGAGGTTAACGACCAAATCCCTTGACAATAATTCATTAAAAGGAAGGACTTTTTCAAGAAATTCTACTGAAGAAATATAATGAAATCTAACTAAAGGGATATGTCTATAAAGAGTTCTTTCCATAACTGTAGTTTCTTCATTGCTCCACGCTTTGACGTCTTTAGGAATCGACGGGTTTTGAGCAAAACCCCACTTAATTAAGTTATTCCAAATATCAATTTCATCCAGACTTAAATCATCCCGTTTTAAAAGGATTTCTAATAAAGGGGCTTTTATACTGAGAAATTTATCAGAAGTGAAAAATTCTTTAGGGTCTTCACAAATTTTTTCAAAATAAAAATTTCGTAATTTTGTGAAAGTCTCATGTTGATAAATTGTTTCAAGAATTCCTAAAAGATTTTCTTGTAAAAACTCATGTTGGTCGTTAAATTAAATAATCTTCAATATCGAGAACTAATGATTGAAGATTAAGTGCACCTGCCGCTTTTAAGAGCTTTAACATTTCAGTTGCTTCTATATTCGTCATGTCAATCCTTCCGCAATATATAAATCTGAAATTCCAAGAGATATTAGTAACTTGGTTTATATTATACAGTAGTTGCAGTTGACGACTTATTTACCTTAAGATAATTTTAAAAAGATTTAGAGGAATGTTGGGTATTTTTAAAATAAATTTCCCTTCCTTCTTCTCAACATTTTCTTTATTTAATTCATCATAAAAATATTGCGACCTGAAACATAAAATATTTGAAAGTGCATGTAATTCTTTAACGTTTTCATTTTCACCGGCATAAATAATGACATCATATTTTTTGTCATTTTCAAATAACCTTTCATAATCATCTTGCAAACGTTCTATTGACATTTTTTTTTACAGAAAGTTAAATTGAAAAAAAGAAACAATAAAAAAAAGTCATTGCCATCGCATGCATGATAGTAGTGTAATACCAACATTTAAGTTTCCATTTATAGAGACACATGTTGCACGGGCTGTTTGCTATTATTGTAAATCATCTAGGATTTTGCAATAACCATCAATTTCACATTTATATGCCGAATATGATTTTTTAGACCAAAATAGGTTCAGATTTAGCATTGAGTCATTTTTTTTATTTTATTTTCCTTTTTTCCTGAAGTTTCCCTTTTCTATTGCAAATTTTTCATATGATCTCGACTTAATAGTAAACGATCCATATTATTTACAATATTTTCTTTACATTCATGAGTAACATGTATTATGTATAATAAATAAAAACATAAATAATAACATAAATAATTAAATTTAATTTCTAGTAGAATTATTCACTTTTTTCATTTTACAAACTTTTTATTAATGATTGCGTATCACTCAAAGTTAATAGCAACATTATTTACAAAGATAAATTTTTCAAAAATGTTCAAATAAATGAATGCGACAGATTTGAAAATAAGGTGTTAGTATTATTTATTTCATGGGGTTAGGAATATTATGGTTTTTTCCTAAAGGGAAATAACCATGATATTTATAACCCAATGAATAAATGGGAGCGTCATTCATTAAACATAACACGTGATTATGCATGATTAGCGAGTTAAACTTTTTTAGTGACAAACTTTTTTTTGTCATTATTTTTTTCCCACGCTTCATTTTTTCTTTCTATTCCACATTATTCAACTTTTTCTTCTTTTTTCATTAATAATGACAATGTGATTTGTTTCATCAACTAAAGAAACAATTTTAAAATTTCAGAATGCATTCAAGAAATGTAAATATATACGTTTATTTATTAAGTTTCGTAAAGCCTGTGGTTATTTAAATGAAAATGTTAAATTGGATAATAAAACATTATCTGTTCAATTAGAACAATTTTTAGTAAAATTAAGAAAATCTAATTGTCAAGAATATAAAGCATAATCACTATATACTGGATTTTGTGCATTGGCAAGAGAAATCTCTGAAATATTTGAGAAAATTAGAGTTATGAACTTATTTGATACTTCTTAATTTAAAAGTTTACATAAAACTTTGGATGGTCATATGAAATCAATTGCTAATCAAAAATAAAATAATCGAAAACAATCAGATCCCTTAGAAATTGATGAAACCAAATTTATACAGATATTTCTAAAGGCCTTTTATGAAGAGTTTAGATCTGGTTAACTTTATTATGCTATTAAGAAGTGGTGATGCTAAATGATTAAAAGCTTCTTAGATTATTGAAATGGATGATAGTAGAATAAAGCTTGAAATTACTTAAGGAAAAGAATCATGCAAGAAGAATTATAGATCAATATGCAGCATCTAATATAAGTTTTATATTACCTGATACTTAAAAAACATATACTCCTGTTGCAGATATCCAAATTCTAAATAAAGTTAAAAAAAATATTTATATACAATAGCTTACAAAAAAAATTAGAAAATAGAAAAGTTCAGGTCTAGAACTTTAGAACTTAATCTTTAATTTCATTCTTAGTAAGACCTGATCCTAATTTTAGAACTTAATTTGGACGTTTTCAATTTAGTTTTTATATAAATTATAATAAATAATATAAATTAAAATTTAATTTTA